AAAGAAAACCAATGGTTGCCAGGCACTGGGGGAGAGTGACATGGGGAGCAACTGTTTAATGGTAGGGTCTCTTCTTGGGGTGATGAAAATGTTTTGAAACTAGATAGTGGTGATGGTTGCAAAGCATTTGAATGTACTAAGTGCCATAAATTTTACACTTTTTAATGGTTAAAACAGTGTATTTTATGTTAGTGAGTTTTACAGTAAAAAAAAAAATTAAGGGCTCAAATGCAGTGCATGGCGGGGGAATGATATGGGGAAGAATGGGGAGATGCTGGCATCGTGGAAGCCAAAGGGAGATAGAGAGTGCAGAGCTCCAGGGACTGAGCTAGAATCAGTGGGACTTCTGGCTCAGAAATGAGTCCTGGTTTTCTTTGGTGAACCCAGTTTTAGTTCTTTCTTAGCACTACTCCAGCATCTAATTCAGTTTACCCAAGATTCATACAGAAGTCATAAGTGGGCTAACAGTCTAATGTAGGTTGTAGATTTTTTTCCCTAGTATCTTTTGTTTTATTTTGTCATTTAATTTAATTTATTTTGTATAAATGTATTTAGATGGGGTAAGCTTTCTCCAATTTTGTATGTCCCCCGTGGATCCCTACTATTTTAAATTATTCCAGTTTCATTTATTTATGATAACATGCCTGGTCCATGAAAGCATTTGTGTTTGCACCCCTGGTATTTAAGGAACTTACACATATAAAGCACAATGCTAGAAATATTGATAATTACTCCAAATGGGCTTTTGCTTCACGGAGTCTTCTTAAAATGAAGACACATGTAAATGGTTTATTACAACATAGGCAAGATAGTCATTTTCCTCATTAGTACAGCGGTGAGTATCTCTGCCTGCCACAGCATAGGCAGGATAAGTGCCCCAATGGTAATAAAAATTAAGTGCATTGGGAACAAAGACAAATGTAAAGAACATGTAGTATCTGATTCCCTTCCACTTTCACTCATTGCATTGAGATTTTATTGCAGTGAATGCAGTTAAAGACAAATGGTATTTGTTAAGAAGCTGGAAAGAAATACCATCAAATCTGTAATTAATAGTCATCAGGGCATAACTTTATTGTAGCACACTTATAGCTCGGGAATGAGGAGTTGTATTTACATCATTAATGAAAACAACCTTGGCATATATATATATATATATATATATATGGAAAATATATACACTTGGATTCTTAGCAGTTTAACAGCAATGCTCTCGGGAAATAAAGCTGCTATGTATTGGCTCCTCCTGGGTGTTTTATATATGTCATTACTGATCCTCATAACAACCCTGCAAGTTAGTGTATGAGAATCTTGACATTAGTGAGGAGACGTTCTAAATATGTCCGAAGCCCTCAATTTCAAAATGTGGACATGGACCTTGGCTTTCCTGAATCACATTTTTTTCAAGAATCAGATGTCATTTGTGGATAGTCTCATGTTTCATTAAAAAATTTTTTTCCAACTATTAGAATCTTAGCTTTATCTCTGCTTTGCTAGCTATTTTAACAAACAAACAAACAAAAAACCCACAAAATCACCTTAGAGAAAGACTCCACAAAAAAATGAGTGGAGAACAGGAGCTGGCTAAGCTGGGCAGTCAGCTAAGATCACTCATTCACTGTGTGAGGATTTGTTCCAACACATCAGCCTCCTAGAACTGCCCAGAGTGTGCTTGTTCTTCATACCATATTCTGCTGGAATGAGCATAAATTTGCACAGCTTTATGGAAAAGTTTTATTATTATTATTATATATCCAAAGTTGTTTAAATGAGTCTTTGGACTCAGTAATTTATCCTAAGGAAAATAATAAGATATCCATAAAGATTTATGTGAATGTTGATAATTGTTAGTTATAACAGTGAAAACGTACAAGGTGACAGTTAACAGTTTATTGTCTCTGAGCTCCAAATTCACCCTTCTTTGTCTTCCTTTGTGTTACTCTAGGTAAGTCCTATAAACGTTTCTTTTGCCAGCTGGCGGGATATTCATTTCATCAGTAGAGGGCACTGGGTGCAGTAGTTGCAAGAAAACACTTCTCTTCCAGGTTCCAGTCCTCCGTATACATTCTGAGCCCCACAGCCATAAGCAGGAGCTTGAGCTGCACCCTCAGGCCATCTCTCCCTATCTGCAGCCACTTGAGAGCAGCTTCAGCTGTCTGCACCCACAAGCAATGCTGGCCACTTCAACAGACACACTCTGGCCCGCCCACACCAACCAGCAAAGGCAGGTCACTCCTGCAGACCAGCTCCCGCCTACCAGCTCCCGCCTATCCACACCCAGCAGCCGTGATGAGCTGTTTTTACAGATCAGTGCCAGCCTGTGCCCTCAGCCAAGTTTTTTTTTTTTTTGCCACTGCAGGCTGCCTGTGGTAGCGACTCCCTCTTTTAAGAGGTTTGAATCTGAGCCTTGGGGCCCAGAGGGCTAATCCTAGTCCTTTATTGTTCCTATTCCTCAGGCTAGAGGTAGTACCTCCTTTTTTTTTTTTAATTGGAGCATAGTTGATTAACAATGTCGTGTTAGTTTCAGGTGTACAGCAGAGCGATTCAGTTATACGTATACATTTATCTATTTTTCAAATTCTTTTCCCATTTAGGTTATTACAGGATATTAAGAGCGTTCCCTGTGCTATACAGTAGGTCCTGTTGGTAATCTGTTTTAAGTATAGCAGTGTGTACTTGCCAATTCCAAACTCCCAATCTATCCCTCCCTTCAACCCTTCCCCCCTGGTAACCATAAGTTGTTCTCTAAGTCTGTGAGTCTGTTTCTGTTTTATAAATAAGTTCATTTGTATCTTTTTTTTAGATTCTGCATATAAGTGATATCACATGATATTTATTTTTCTCTGTCTGACTTAACTTCACTTAGTATGATAATCTCCAGGTCTATCCATGTTGCTGCAAATGGCACTATTTCATTCTTTTTAATGGCTGAGTGATATTCCTTTGTATATATGTACCACATCTTCTTTATCCATTCATCTGTCGATGGACACTTAGGTTGCTTCCATGTCTTGGCTATTGTAAACAGTGCTGCGATGAACATTGGGGTGCATGTATCCTTTTGAACCATGTTTCAAAAAACCATGTTTCAAAAAACCATGTTTTTTTCTGGATATATGCCCAGGAGCGGGATTGCTAGATCATATGGTCGCTCTATTTTTAGTTGCTTAAGGAGCCTCCATACTGTTCTCCATAGTGACTGTACCAATTTACATTCCCACCAACAGTGTAGGATGGTTCCCTTTTCTTCACCCCCTCTCCAGCATTTATTGTTTGTAGTTTTTTCTTTTTTTCGGTACGCAGGCCTCTCACTGTTGTGGCCTCTCCCGTGGCGGAGCACAGGCTCCGGATGCGCAGGCTCAGCGGCCATGGCTCACGGGCCCAGCCGCTCTGCAGCATGTGGGATCTTCCCGGACCGGGGCACGAACCTGTGTCTCCTGCATCGGCAGGTGGACTCTCAACCACTGCACCACCAGGGAAGCCCTGTAGATTTTTTTTAATGATGGCCATTCTGACTGGTATGAGGTGATATCTCATTATAGTTTTGATTTGCATTTCTCTAATAATTAGCAATGTTGAACATCTTTTCACGTGCCTCTTGGCCATCTGTATGTCTTCTCTGGAGAAATGTCTATTTAGGTCTTCTGCCCATTTTTTTTTTTTTTTGTGATATGCGGGCCTCTCACTGTTGTGGCCTCTCCTGTTGCAGAGCACAGTCTCCGGACGCACAAGCTCAGCGGCCATGGCTCACGGGCCCAGCTGCTCCGCGGCACGTGGGATCTTCCTGGACCGGGGCACGAACCCATGTCCCCTGCATCGGCAGGCGGACTCTCAACCACTGCGCCACCAGGGAAGCCCCTGCCCATTTTTTTATTGGGTTTTTTATTTTTTTTTGATATTGAGCTACATGAGCTGTTTGTAAATTTTGAAGACTAATCCCTTGTAGGTCACGACGTTTGCAAATATTTTCTCCCATTCTGTGGGTTGTCTTTTTGTTTTGTTTATGGTTTCCTTTGCTCTGCAAAAGCTTTTGAGTTTAATTAGGTCCCATTTTTTTATGTTTGTTTTTATTTTGTTTATTTTATTATTTTTCTTTATTTTGTTCCTGGTGGGCTTTGACTGAAGGGCACTGACAGCTCCCAATATTATTCCATTTTATGGATGTATCCTCGTTTATTTAACTAATCCTTTATTGTTGAGCTTTTAACTTCTATATCAGTCAAGGTCCAGTTGGGAGACAGAAACCACGACAGTTATTTGAACAGGGAAAAATTAATACCCCCACAAAATAACTACTAAAAGAGGTAAAAGTGGGCTTTAAGAGATCCAAGTATCACAAATTAAAAGAGCAGGTAATTTAAAGTTAGAGCCCCCTTAGAGCCCACTCGTACCTCTTTTAGTAGTTATTTTTTTGGTATTAATTTTTCCCTGTTCAAATAACTAGTGGTTTCTGTCTCCCAACTGGACCTTGACTGATATAGAAGTTAAAAGCTCAACAATAAAGGATTAGTTAAATAAATGAAGATACATCCATATAATGGAATAATATTGGGAGCTGTCAGTGCCCTTCAGTCAAAGCCCACCAGGAACACACTTGTAGCTAAAAAGGTTGGATTTGTTACTTTGTAGAAAGGGAGAATGCACATCAGGGGAAAACCACAGGATGTTTCAGTAGGAATGTGTTAGAAAGAACCCATTATAGGATTTGCGATTTGGTTGGATGATTTGGGGGAAGGTTTAAGAAAGAAATTTGGTCTAGATTGTGTGTTGTCAGAATGTGGGGGTAATTCTATGGTTGGACATTTTGCAGTTGCCATAGTGATGTGTTTTTGTCTGTACTTACAAAGTTATGAAGAGGCCTTTCTTTATTTCATCCTGTCATGATCTCAGAGTAACCTTGTCTAAGGTTGGTATTCTGTGAGATTGTTTATGTCCAATAGGAGACTAACATGGCCTTGCTCTGAATGTTAGATTGGTTCTGAACATGAGTTCTTTTTCAGAGCTTTCAGCTATCATGTAAGAAGTCTGCCTACCCTGGGGCCACCACATGGAGTGACCACATACTTACATATAGAGAGAGATGGCCCAGAGTTCAAGCCTCCAGCTATTGAAGGCTTCCATCCTGGCTAACAGACAATTGAATGAAGAAGACTTTGAGATGCTGTCAGCCCCAACCATTGTCTGACCACAACTAGGTGAGGGACCTGCATGCAGTCAGAACTACCAGCTGAGCCAAGCTGACCTCCAGACTTGTGAGTAAAATAAATAATTACCATTGATTTGAGTTACTATTTGGGGGTGGTTTGTTTTACAGTAATAGATAACTGATACAATGTCGGATAGGCAGTTAGCTCTATAGTTCTGGAGCTCAGGAGAGAGATCAGACATGGTGGTACAGTTCAGGAAGTCCTTTAGCAAGGAGAAAGCACTTGAAGTCATAGATGAAGTCATCAGGGAGATAATGTACATTGAGAAGAAAAAAAAGAACCCACAGTGGCACCTTTACAATAACACTGAAGTGATCAAGACGAAAGAAGAATTTGCAAGGAGACTGAGAAGGAGTTATCAGATGACATCCATGAGAGATGAATGTTAAGGAAGTCAAGAATGAGAGTATGAAGAAAGAGGGCATTTTCCACAGAGTCAAATGCTGTGGCGGGAGATCAAGTAAGACAAAGACCGAAAAGTGTTCTTTGGATTGAGCAACAGTGAGTTTACCTTGTTGGCAAAAGTAGTTTCAGGGGGCTTCCCTGGTGGCGCAGTGGTTGAGAGTCCGCCTGCCGATGCAGGGGACACGGGTTCGTGCCCTGGTCCAGGAAGATCCCACATGCCACGGAGCGGCTGGGCCCGTGAGCCATGGCTGCTGAGCCTGCGCGTCCGGAGCCTGTGCTCCGCCATGGGAGAGGCCACAACTGTGAGAGGCCCGCGCGTACAGCAAAAAAAAAAAAAAAAAAAA